TCCCAGGCAGGTGTGTGTGCTGCTGAGCTATATCCCCAGCCCTATACTAAATTGTTATATGGTCAGCTTAAATATTCAAATGACCCAGGGATACAAGCTCCTTCAGTCTTAGTCACGTGATCTTAACACCCTGTGTCCTACTCGAGAGAAGAGCTGAGGTGAGGAGTAGTAAGTAAGATGGGGATGGGTGTTTTAGTCAATCCCATAAGCTACTACCATATACAAGGTCCTTGTCTAGTTACTTTTCACACAGCTAAGACAAAATAGTTGACACCAAGAAGTTAGAGGAGGCAAGGGTCGCTTTAGTTTAGTTAGTAGAGGTATCACTTCCTAACTGGTTGGTGCCAAGGCAGGGTAGCATGACAGAGGGGCATCACAGAGGAGAAGCAGTTCATGGCAGTAGAAGGCAGAGGCAGCAAGTAGCAAAGTAGTGAAGCAGCAGCAGCAGCAGCCTGCCTCTCCCTATTATTCCTTCCAGACAACCTACCTTTCAGGTTGTATCACTCACATCCAGGGTGAGCCTTCCCATCATATGCACCCAGAGCTAAAGACAAACCAGTCAGTAGAGTAATTCAGAAAGCACACACACTGATCCCAGCATCACATACATAATGCCAGCGTCTCTCAACTGCAATACCACATACCATAGATCCAGCTGCCTCTGAAAATCTCCACCTATGACCGCATGGAGCTCTGCAGGTGTATCTAGACACATGCCACAACAGTACTTAATAAAGCATCACTAAATTTTATAATATGACCTACTTTGGTTATTGCCAGGGTTTCTGTGGAGGCCAACATTGCCTCAAAATCTTCCAATTTCTTTTTACAGTGACCATATGGCTGTTGATTTCTAAAACAAGTTCTTATCTACTTTTAAATGAAATCTATGAATCTTAGAAGGTAATAACCAATCTTATTACCCACTAACACTTTTCTGCACTGTCCTTTCAACAACCTATGTAAACCATTTAGGATGAATATTTTCTCTTTCCCTTTGACATAATGGAAATATTTTAACCTGAGAGCCTCTGCTAACCATGACATGACTGAAAGCTCCTGGAAACTGGTACAGGTGTCTTTAGTACATTGCAAACCAGCATTTCCCTTTGGAAGATGAAAGACAAGAAGCAGTTCAAGGACAGCCGTTTTCTTTTTTCTATCAGAGCTAGCATGTTCAAAGAGAAACCACTGTTTAATTCCTTTAAGCACTCAAGATTTTCTAAAGTCAGTCAGTCTCTCCTAGATAATTGCTCACTGTGCTCTGTGGTCCACTCCCATGTACAGGGTTTATAAGGAAAGCTTTTTTTCTGATCATCTATGAAAGCATATTCATCTCAATGGTTCAGTGGCTTGATCTGAGTGATACATCTTGTTAAAACATTACTGCAAATATCAAGGTTACATAATCCCTGTCACTGACTGCCAAGATCATGTGGCAAATCTAATTCTCCTCATCAGGCTATTTGGAGAATCCTCTGAGAATGTGTTGAAGATGCCGAAAGAAGGCTTCTAACAGTCACTAATCAGAGTGTACTTTTACATCAGAGGAGACTTTGCTATAACAGAGGATTCAGGGGGAAATGAGATGCTCAGGAGCCTTCTGCAAATAGGAAAACTCTACTCAGAGGGAAAGCACCTGATTGTGGGGTGCTCCAGTGAGGGCAGGACAGACTTCAGAGGAGCCTGCTGTGATAAGTTTTGTGAGCAAAAAGTCAGGTTTCTAGAGTTAAATAAGAGACAGAGAGGCATCCTGGGACAGGAAAATTTTAAGTAAAACTTTTACACAGTCCTCAAATTGCATTTTATTTTCATTGTCACTGTCCTCGTTTCAGCATAATTTAGTATTTTCCCACAGACCTTTATTTTGGTGTTAAAATGAACTGGAAAAAGTCAACCTCAGGACAGGAGGAATGAGGGCTGTATCACCCTACATGAATTAGGCCTGGGGTCAATCCCTCGCCCTGTCATTTGCTACTCATGTGATGTAGCAAAAATTACCCTGTGCTCCAAACCTTATATTTTTCTAAGGTTTGAGAAGTCCTGTGTTGCAGGATGGCTGTAATATATGTACTGTAAGTGAAATGCCAGGCATAGTGTTTGACACAGGTAAGAACTTAATTGAATTCCTTTTTCCTCTCCTATTTTTGTGGCACTAATCTTAAAGGAGTGCTCAGAAAACTAGGCATGGTGGTGCATGCCTGTAATCCCAGTTCTTGGGAGGCCATAAACAGGCAGATCACTGAGTCCGATCTAGTAGTGAGACCTTGAACACCCTGTAGACCCTTTCCTAAAATGCAAAAAATAAATGAATGAATGAATAAATAAATAAATAAATACAGTAGAGCTTGGAGAAATGTCTAGACTATAAAGGGCAGTCAGATTTAGACTGCATGTGAAAAAGATGTTTCTGGCAAGTTGAAATTAAGAAAAGGTTTTTAGACGTGCAACAATGACTTATATACTGACATTGTTTCACGGTGGAAGTGGTCATGCCACAAAGCTCATTTCAAATAGATGTTAAGTCCCACTTTTTCACAAACTACCCCCCAAGATCACTAAAGATACATACATGGTTCCAAATGGGTGGTACATTTTCTAGTTGCAGTTTTTTACCAACATGATACTATCCACAAGCCCTATCACCATCTTATGGAAAACTAAACTTCTGTTTTCCTTATTCAGAAGTCCTCAGAAGTTTTGCAGCTTATGCATTCTCTTAATTCAATAAATAGAGAAATTTGTTCTAATAGTGTCTGTGGACAGGATATCATTCTGCATCTTGTACAATGAATAACCACCAAGACAACAATATGCAATGTATTCATTATTGAAACTGTGCTAGTAATCGGTTTTGAAACTGTCTCACTGCTATTTGTTTCTCAATACAATTATTTTTAAAAATGAAAACAAACTGTTACTTCAATATCATATCAATGTTTCTGTGTATTTAAGCAAAAGAAGCATAAAATCAAGATTCCAAAAATAAAGGATTTGAGTCCTAACCAAAAAAAAGGTTTTTTTGCAGCTTAATAGTCACAGAATACCAACTCAACCAAAAACCTGCTTCTTGTACTAAACGCAGTAAGTGTCCTCTCCTTGAAATTGCTTTAAAAGTCTCCAGCTGGATGCATGTCAAAGACTTTAGAATTTAAGTGAAAAACCTCCTGCTTTAATTTTCCTCTTGCCACACCATCCAATCCAGTGTTTTCATGCATTTGTCCTCCTCTAACATTCTAGTCCTTCCCTAAAGTTGGCCAAATTACACACAAAATAACTTAATTAAATTTCATTTGAATAGACTAGGCTCTGGTCTTTCCAGGCCGGGGAAGAGAGCCAGACCTGAAGCTTCTGGCATTACTTCAAAAGAATAAGTACCATTTTAGTTTTCAAGAAATCCTTACAGTTGTTGTATACGGAGCACACAGTTCACACACGCAGCTCAGCTATGTCAGCACAAGAGTCCAGGACACTGTCCATACCAGTCCTATGTTGAGATTTCTCTCGGATTTAGAGTGCATCTAAAATGAACTGCTCAGGGTTTTTGACAGCAAGTTTTCACCTATTACTCTGATCCCTGCTACCATTTAGTTTAAGTAAAAATTAACCAGAGAAGAAATTTCTACTTCTCAAATCACAAACTGCCATGACTCACGGCATTTAAATTCCACTTCTTTTTTTTAATTTTTTTAATTTTTTTAACTATTTTTTATATTTATTTATTTTTATTCATTACATTTATTTATTGT